ACTGAAAATGCTTTACAGCGTCGTTCAGGTGAGAAACTGTCTTGCTCGTCACGTATGCGGCAAATTGTATGTGGCCCGCATCTGTGTCTCGAGCAATCTCGCAGTCTAAGAGGGACTGCAGTTTGCGTTCTGTCAGCAAAATCCAACAGAACAGATACCAGCGTCACTCACATCGAACAGTGCGTCGTCCTGATAGTTGCAAACATGTACAATGGTGGCCTTCAGCTTGAGAGAAGGGTGGACACCACCCACGGGTGGGAAGAATAAATCTACGAGACGTTAGTTTATGTGTATGAACGAGAAGCGAATCACTCACCAAATGGCTCATCTCCATGATCGAGTAGCCCATTCCGCGACATTTGAAGGCCTCCAACGACCTCACCACCGCCTAGCATCCGACCAAGCTCACAGGATGCCCTGATCTCCACTGACAACGCAGGTAAGGAGTGTGATGATCTATAGACAGATAATCAGTTCTTGCATTGCGTCAGAAAATCTGCATGGGGTTTACAAAGTCATAGTATTCCCCCACGCTACAGATTTATTAGATGATGAGACACTGATGGCTGATTTCCGGCGCCTCTGGGAGTCGACTTTGACGGATATGTAGATGCCAGCGGGAATGTGCTTGGAAGGAACTTGAATATTCTTTCCGTTGATGACTGTAGATAGAGTGTGAGGATGATAGAACAGATGCGAAGGCAATATGGAGGAACTCGCCTTCAAGTCTGATATTTCGGCTTTCTGAGCTATCAGGCATAATGGTGCGATGGAGTTATGGACGGAATCTGTGAGAAGGGAAGACGGGGGTAAGGATATGGGGACTGGGTAGAGTTCAGCTGAGAGAGAGGTTGAGGGTTCAGTTCATACTACACGTGTATTACCATGTTGTCTAGGGCTGCTCGGCACGATATAGACCCTGGTATAATTGCACTAAGTGCTGATAATGGAGATCACCGACCAGGATTAGCGGAAGAATTTAATGTAGACAACGTCGTGACCGGTCTTCAGCGAAAGTGGCCAGCCTAGGTCGAAGGGGGCGAGTCTCAGAGTGATTGGACTTGTATGGTACTACTCAGTCAGCACACCAAGGCCAGATGTAGAATCGAGTGTATTTCGTATAGTAATGCGCACAATGTGAAAACCACTGGAAACAGCACGCTAAGAAGAACCGAATGATTCTATACGACTCGTCCGATTGAGCCGATAGTGCCATGGGGGGAGGGATGATCTTGCCTGGCCAGAGAACTAAGAAAATATTGTCAACATGAAAAGCAAGGATGCAACCAATTGTGTGCTTATTCGGTGAAGGGCAATTGACGAATGTTCAGGAAGCTTTGACCGCTGCCGGCTTGAAGGTGAGGGGAATATATTAATTGGGTTTAATTTTATTTATACTAAGCTAATGGGTCGCGTGATTACTAGCGTCGTTGCGAGCGACGTGTTCTGTTTGAGTCTGACTCAAATATCTTCCGCTCTCAGCGGGTGTGCTCGGCGTTTGATCATGTTTGCCATGGTCAGTGCGCCTTTCACGTTGTCCTCGAAGATTGGACCAATCTTTATTTCAGGCTCCGTCCTCCTATGGTGGAGCTATGCTTACTTAGCGGGCGACTCCGTGTTAGATTGAGTTTGCCCTCTTTCTAACTCTTCCCGTCGCCTCGCTTGGTGAGCTCGACTAATGTTTTTGAGTGAAAGCTCTTTCTAACTCTTACCGTCGCCTCGCTAGCTAGTTTCGGATCATCATATAAATAACTTCGTTATCATCAGAATAAATCTTCATGTCTGAAAATGGACAAACCTCAGAAACTCTTGCATCGTCTGGAGCGCCCCAATCGTTCTCAGAACCTATCTCTGATCTCTCCTGCGTTGAACAATGCAGCGAGCTCATTAACCAATATCGACTTGGTCAAAAGGGGAAGGCCTATACTATCCTCACCCTCCAAGAAGTTCTCGCTAACTCACCGGCTGTCCGAAGTGGACGAAACCTTAATGAAGCCCTTGATGTCTTCATCGGAATGCTCGATGACATCGATGCGTCAAAGCGAGGAGCTGAAGATCGAGGACAAAGACATTTTGAGGGAAGGCAGCAAGAAGAGGAAACTGAGCGAGAGAATAGGGGGTCTACCGGTGTCGAAGAAACCGAAGATGGAGGTAAACGGTCTAGAGATGGCTCAGAATTCGAAGAGGATGACTCACCACCCTCAAAACGAGCCAAAGTCGTCGACGTCACCAAATTTCCCTGGGCACAAAGGAGAACCGAAGCACTTGCCTCTCTCCCTTCGGATATCAGAGAAACCTACAAGCAACTTGAAAACTTCTCTGTCGACCCTAAAGGCGTCGTCACCAATATCTTATCCACACCGGGATGTCCACCATTTCCACCCGGTGAATGGCTCAATATCGTGCGGTGGAAATACGTCGACCTCGGAAAAGTCCTCGACTCTGCCCATACTACAGAACTCGACCCAAAACAAACCCACGTCATTGATGACGAGATTGAACTTGCCCTCCGAGTCTCAAAGTCTTCGGGAGGAATCAAAACGTCTTCGGACCATAACATCGCCTTCTCAATGTATATCGAAGCCGTTGCGTTTGTCTTCCCGCAACGAAGGGACGAGTTCATCCAATATCACACCTATCTTAGCAGGCTCTTCCATGCCATGGAAGTCAGATTACATTCTCGAGTCATCGAATTCGATCGATCCGTCAGAAATCAGGTGGCCATGCAAAGAAACTTACGCCTCACTGATCATTCCCAATTCGAACATCTTCGAACCACTTTCCTCACCTCCTTTGGCGTTGGTTCCAATACCACCTCATCCGCATCCGGTTCCGGGGGAAGAACGAATCGGAGGGACGGATATAGCGGAAGGGATGATCCCTGCCATAAATGGAATAGAGGAACCTGTCAGAAATCAGACAGCGAGTGTAGGTTCTCGCACTGCTGTGATCGACGAGGATGTCGGGGAGCTCACCGGAAGTCGGAGTGCCCAAACAAAGGGCCTTCTAAATGAAGATATTGCGTGTGGTCAACGTTTTCGGCGCAAAGGAGTTTGGGGATCTGGAATGTCTGCATATAGCCGAACGGCTCTTTGGACGGAGTCTGCCTCTCCAATGCCTCGTCCTCCGCCTCACGAATTCTTGAATCTTGGCGCAACAAACACCATCGAGTCGCATCCTTCATTATTCGAAGTTTCGACTCCCATCAAAGTTGATGTTTTTGAGTCTTTGTTAGCTGATCATCCGAATCCGGATTTTGTTCACTCTGTTTGTGTTGGTCTTCGCGAAGGCTTTTGGCCTTTCGCTGACACCCATCCTCATGAATGGCCACTCATTTTCGACAACTCGGATCGTCCTCCCAAATCTGACGCGGAAACTGAGTTTTTACGTGAGCAAATTGAAAAGGAGGTTGATGTTGGTCGCTACTCTCAAGCTTTCGGACCAGATCTGCTTCCCGGCATGTACAGTATGCCCATCCATGCTGTACCTAAACCGGGAACAAACAAGCATCGGCTGGTAACCGATCATAGCGCGGGGAAGAATGCTCTTAACTCAATGATTTCTCACAACGACATCGCTGGAGTCACCCTCGACAACGTCCATGATTTAGCAAATGGACTGCGGGCCTTTAGGCGATCGCGTCCACATGCTAAGTTGATTCTTTGGAAAGCTGATGTTTCGGAAGCCTACCGTCACATGCCTATGCACCCCTTATGGCAAATCAAGCAAATCGTCAGTTTCCAGGGTCGTCGCTACGTTGACAGAAGGAACGTCTTTGGAGGTAGAGCCTCGCAGAGAATCTATCATGCTTTCATGTCGCTTGTCATATGGATAGCAATTTTCAAGGTCCTCATCCATTTCCTCTATATCTACGTCGACGATTCATTCTCTTTCGAGGACAAACGGAGTATGGAGTTCTATCCACCATATAACAAGCTCCTACCAGGGAATATGGTCAAGTTACTTCGTTTATGGGACGCTATTGGGGTACCTCATGAGGAGAGAAAGCAAATTTTTGGGCTCGAGCTACCTATTATTGGCTTCGATGTGGACCCTAACCTGATGCGAGCGCGCATGTCGGACGCATCTCGCTCTCAGCTCATTCAAGAGCTTATCGACTTTGCTCAGAAGGGTTCTCGCAGGTCTTTGCGAGATTTTCAGCGTTTGGCAGGATGGCTAAACTGGGCTCTAAACGTGTACCCACTCCTTCGTCCGGGACTTTCGGCTCTTTACGCCAAAACCGCAGGGAAGCTTGTATCAAAGGCCCTGCTGTGGGTTAATCGTGACGTCGTTAGAGAGCTTCACTGGGTTATAGGTCACCTTCGGTCGGCTGAGGGAGTGTTCTTCTTTAAGTCCGTCTCTTGGAACTTTACACAGCTTCAGGACGACGTTCTGAAGGTTTATACGGATGCGTCGGGTGATGGACTCGCGTTTTGGTTCCCAACTCTGAACCTTGGCTTTCAGTCTCCACTTCCCAGTTCGGCACCAACCGGCACAATCTTTTTCTTCGAAGCTTTGGCCGTAACCGCTGCAATACTTGATTCCATCAAACGTCGACGTTCTCATCAGAGAATTGCGGTGTTCACTGACAATCTCAATTCCGTATCCATGTTCAACTCTCTTTCGGCTCTCCCGCCATACAACTGGCTTCTTATGATGTCGGTAGACGCTATTCTGGATGCTCAAGTGGACTTTCGGGTATTCTTTGTGCCGGGAGTTGAGAATGTGGTCGCGGACCACTTATCTCAATGGAAAAATTGCGAAGCTAAGTCGGTTTCGCCAGGCCTTGCCATTCATCCTTTCACACCCCCTTGGAATGCGCTGGGGGTAGCGCAAAAATGAACCCTGGGTCAGTACGGGCCAGACAACCTCAGCGGGATGTCTGGTCCTTCGAGCGTCTCATTCATGAGCGTTCGATCTTGTTGGGATTAGCTCTCGACAATAGTACCTTTCGTGTCTATTCGTCTCATTTGAATTCGTATCTCGCCTTCTGTGAACACCACCGCCTACCAGTAGACCCTACGCCTGATACTCTGTCCTACTACGTGACATATATGTCACATCATATCCAGCCTCGCTCGGTTGGAGCTTACTTGTCCGGTATCGTCAACAATCTGGAACCCCATTATCCTCACGTCCGTCAGGCTCGTAACTCTCTTCTTGTCACGCGTACTTTACGAGGCGCTTTACGCACACTAGGACGTCCGATGCTTCGCAAGGAACCAATCCTGCGAAATGATTTGGAGCGAGTGTTGCTAGAGTTGGCTCATCCTTTGTCACACGACGATCTCTTATGGATAACTCAACTTCACTGCGGTTTTTACGGTCTCCTACGTTTAGGAGAATTAGTGGTTCCTGACGAAATTGCTTCGCGGGACTTCACGAAGATATCACTGCGGACCTCAGTATCCATTTCCCTTAACGACTTCTCTTTTCGGATTCAGCGTGACAAAACCGACTCGCGGTACGAAGGGAATCGTGTGGTCGTTCAGCGTTCATTCGTTGGGTCTGACCCATTTGTTCTCTTTACGTGGTACCTTCTCTCACGCGACTCTCGTTTTCCTTTGCACCCATACCTTTGGGTGAGATGGAACGGCAAATCACCGACTCGTTCGTGGTTTGTACGAAAAATGCGGGCATTCTTTCCAAAAAATGTCTGTGGGCACTCTATGCGCGCAGGGGGTGCTACATCTCTTGCAGCAGCGGGTGTATCTCCTGATCGTATCCGTGCGATTGGGCGATGGCGTTCTGACACTTGGGAGTGTTATGTACGCAAAAATTCGACGCTACTTCAAGCGTTACTTTTTCACGGTCGTTCAATTCACGACCCTCCATTTGGTTCTGCATGAGCTTGTTTTGTGTGCGTGATCTATGTATTTTTATTTATCTTACTTTATTTTTTATTTTATTTTTCCCTCCCTTTCCCTCCCATTTTTAATAGCCAAATAGTGTTCATCCCTTCAGTTTTCGTGTTTTGAAGCTGTGCTGCCGTTTTGAGCTGTATTTCGGTTTTACGCCGTTTTTCCCACGTCGTATTTCTAGTTAACAATTGCAGCTGGTCCCTCTATGCGTTGAGGGACCATTTTGGCTATACCGGCGGACGTGCGCCCCCATAAATCGTGCGAGACCCATTAGTTGCATTTTGACCGAGGGTGTTGCTCATGTGACGCAACTGCCACCGACATCAACGACTCAACGTTTTGAAACACCGTCACTGAGCTCGTTCCTTTCCTTTACATAAAAGGCATGTCTGGATCTGATGAAAGACCAGCGCCAAGATTGCATTGTTTGAATGGACTGGCCATGGATACCTCAAAGGAACAAGTCCGTGCCACTGATCCACAATATTGGAATGACCTCGTTCGTCAACGCGTAACATCTGGTATGGTAGCCGTGGTCGTCAGCATATCGAGTTGATCCGTTCCCTCATACTTACAAACTCCCAAGGGATTTCAAGCTACTTGGAACGAGCGCGCATCACTATCGAACATGATAGAGATTGCAGTTGGCATGAAGGTTAAGGCAACCTTCAACGTCGAAACAGATCTGGACATTGCAAATGAGGCAAGAGAATTACCCAATGTGTCGCACATATGTATTTCAGTTGAACTCGGAGTAAGTCAGAGAGCGAAAAGGAGGCTGTTACAGCTGTTTGGCTCTTTCGCACGATCGTATTGTTGTGGAGACCTTGTACATGTGAGCAGCCTACTCCACCGCTTCCTTGACCCTCTAAACGCCAGATGCTAGCACGCACACACGAAATGGCAAATAGCTTTCTATATCACAGGAGCACATGACCGGCCGCTCATTCAGAATCGCATCACGGGTCCGATACAATTGTCCTGTTTGATGGCATCATCATGACACGAACGTATGCCGGTGTATTCCCTGATAGAGCTGTTTAATCTAGTTCCGTGGACCTCTCCCATTAATGTACACAGGAACAACGCCAAGGCCGATTCAGGCGTGGAAGTCATGCAATTTGATATCAGGATGTGATGGGCGTTTCGTACCTCCCCCCAGTTTCATAGCGCTTCTTCGCTTGACCTGATTTATCATATATCGGGTCTGGTCATGTCTACGTCACCTCCATCCCTGCCCAGCGCCCTCCACAATGAGATAGTACAGGCTGAGGACATCAAATCAGACGAATCGTCCGACCAGGACGCGAACAAGATTGCTATCTTATCCATCAGCAATGATGAACCGCTCGTGACGAGAAGGGAGTTGTGGAGCTATTACCGTGAGTTCTGGTACACATGGATCGTCCCTTATCATTCTCCGACAAAGCTCAACGCCAGTGTACTGTAATGGTGACAATGTGAGTCGGTCGAATATTATTGGGCTCGCTCTGCTTATCTATGCTTCACACAACCAGGGTGTCGGTCCTCTGGGCTATACACAAACTCTGTTCCAGGGGCTTGCCACAGCAGCAGGATATGATCCTGTCGCAGGCCCCGGCTCGTCATGTCTTGCAACAACTGCTTCTGGCCAATGTGTGGTTCCCTGGGGTAGCGGCACAAAGTCAGTTTCTAGTGTGGTGCTGATCGCGAATGGCATCAGTTTCGCCATAATGACAGCCATATTCACTACCATCGGTTCTGCCGCCGACTACGGCACGTTCGGACGGTGGTTACTGTTTGCTGTCACAGTGATATGCTGGGTTGCACAGTATGCCTGTATGGCCCTTACCAGTGCGTTTCCGGGCATCTTGTGTTTCCCGCGATGTCTGATCGTTTTGTGCAGCGCCGAACCGATGGGTCCTTGCGATGGTTCTTTACATCATCGGTTTCGTATCATACGGCGCAACTCTTGTTTTCTTTGTCGCTCTATTCCCTCGCCTCGCGCGTAATACCCCACATGCACGCCAATTGAGAGAGAAGTTTGAAAACGGCGAGATTCCCACTGAAGTTTACGAGCAAGAGGAATCTCTGGAAAAGAATAGGATCAGTAATATTTCCACCGTGCGCTGTAGGGGCTGTGTCTTTTGTTGTCGGAAGCTAACGATCGTTCGATATAGGCTCATAGTAATGTCGGGTATGTAGTTACCTTATTACTGAACTTAACGCTTTTGTTGCCGATGATGAACAACCCGAAGGTGGACAATTATGTCCTCGTGCTGTAAGCTTTTTTTCAATCAAATATCTGAGATGCTGTATTGATTGACGTGTAGTGTCAACACGTACTGGGTGGTACTTGGTATCTGGTGGTGTGAGTATATTGTAGCTCGTCTTTAGTAGGCTTCCTGCTGAAAACCCTCCAGTTATCCTCCAGGAGCCTAGGCCAGGCCCTAGTTTACCTGAAGGCGAACACTACACGACGATTGGGTGGAAGCAGGTGAGTATTTAATAAAATATTCCTGAGAAATCGACTCACGCGAACATCAGATCTGGGCTGCGCTGAAGACATACAAGCATCTTCCCTACACCTTTGTGTATCTGTTCTCTTTCTTCCTTCTCGCGGATGTATGTTTGGTTGTCTGTCTCTTGAGCCATGCCTGACGTATTGGACAGGGACTGAATACCACCGGAACTCTCGTCAGCATTTGCCAGAACAACAAGTTCAGTTTCTCGTTCCTGCAAAATACGTACTTGGGCTTGTCACAGGCGATTACATCGACTATCAGTACTCTCGCCTTCTGGTACATCCAGAGATATTGGAAGATCAGCACGAAGAAGATGGTGTGTAGCGTCAGCGTTTCACGTACTCGTTTATCTGACTGTCAGCGGTACAGTTTGTGGTGACTAATGTTGTTACTATTTTGATTCCGCTGTGGGGTATGATCGGAATATGGACAGAAAAACTTGGGTCGGTGTTATTCGACTTGTTTGTTCTATCCATCGTCCCTCTAACATGTACATCAGATTCCATAATGTCTGGGAGTTCTGGTTCGTCAAGAATCTACCTTCTCTATCTTGTTTTCATATCCTTCTCAGGGCATACAACATCGTGTTCGGCCTTTTCCAGGCGCCCTATTACGCGTTCTCCCAGACGATGATGGCCGAGCTTAGTCCGCCCGGTTTTGATAACATGGTGCGTATCTTGGCTTGTCGTACTTCCTATCACATTGCGTTCGGCTTACATTGGCCAGTTCTTTGGTCTGTTCGGTCTGTCCAACCGCGCTTCTTCTATGGTAGGACCCAATGTGATACAGGCCATCATCGACAAGACGGGGAACAACTGGCAGGGGTTCCCGTTCCTGTTTGCGTTGTGCACGGCTGCTTCGATGGTGATCTGGTTCGGGGTTGATGTCACGAAGGGACGTAGGGATGCTGTGAAGTGGGCGGCTGAGCAGCGCAGCCACACACGCTAGAACGAATTATATATATGCTCTTTGTGTGGCTTCGGGCATTTCTGATATATCCATCATGTCAGGATACAACATTGGCCAAGTTCGATTCACTTCAAAGGAGCCTGGAGGCCGTCTGATCGTTAATGTTTTCAAACTGGCCTGATAATTTGGGTTATCTCGCATTCGACTTTGCGAAACCACCGCGTGGTTGACAAAGGACTAGTGCCAGCGGTCACCGAACAACCATTAATGCAAATACTTGGACTGTGGTTTCACACCAATACAAATTATGGGCATGGTTCTGCCGGCAGAACTGCTTCAAAATAGCTCTGCCCCACAGCACACCACTGACCAGCAAAGCCCGAAGTAGTTACATAAAAGGTGAATCCGAATGTTCGCACATTCACTAGCTGCTTGCCTCAACACTAAAGGGTAGATGCCGATTCTAATACATAGTACTACGAGTCACACACACAACGCTGCCGCCGCGCTCAGCTGCAACATTAACGAGACTTAAGAAAGCTGAGATTGGATCAGGCAAGTTCCGAACATTGACGAGGTGTAAAGCCATGGCGCAAGTCCAATGAGGAACTTCTGATTTGCTACCACCTCGAGAGTCGACTGCGCCGAACGCTTAACGAACCAGATGACATCTCCAAGTTTTGCATTCGTCCCCCGAAATATTTCTAAGGGTGGGAAACAGCAAGGCACTTGCGCTCACGTACCCTCGTCGGAGTCATCACATAGTTTGAAACCGACACCCGTCATCGAAAGAAAATCGGCGTACCCAGGATCGTCCGGAAGCGACAAAGGAAAACAGAAAGTTTCTGAACCGCCGGCGAAACCAGTCTACAATGAGAAGGATATATCCGTCCTTGCTGTTCTCGCATTTTCGGACTATGCCCTTTGGCTTGACTCAGATCTCAGGAGGAAAACCGAAGAGTCTCTTCAGGGCGAGGAGCAAGATGCTGGATGTATGTTTCCGTTTCTTCCGTGCGCGTATCAGGCAGGGTTTATGTGTCCACGCAGTTTTACCTCTCAGCTACCTGATGCGTCGTGCTTTTGGTAGAGAGAACTTGGGTCAAGATTATATGCCGACTGAAGCAAACGTAGTAAAGGCGATTCGGGCATACGCTGGCGACGTGCTGGAGGTTAGAATGCTTGTGTCCGCCCCATCTGCGTCTGGGTGGTACCCTTCCTGGAAGCCGGAGAGGGGTTCAGTTGGTGGTTATGAAGTACGCAGGAAGGATTGGACAACATTATTGGATAACGCGACTCGTGAATTCACTCGGGGTCAGTGGGACGACCGCACTATTTACATGGTAGGTGCATCTCTTTGGTAGAAGACCAAAATCTAACGATCGTAGGAAAACATCCCCGCACAATATCACACAATACCTGGTATCATCCGATTTGCGCAAGGGCTACTGTCTCACT